AGTTTAACACGGAACTAAAGATGAATCCTTAGTGCATGATTTTTGATTATTTGTCACAGTTTTCGTAATTTCAGTTTATCTAGGTAATTATCGCCTTTCATTTTGAGATTCGTCTTGAGTATTTCTATTATTGTTATTGACTTATTAGTTTTCCTTTTTTCTATTGATTTCCTTAACTAGAATTTGTTATTAGCTACGTAAAATATAAGGATTAGGGTAGCAATGAACATTATTTACGCTTATAATAATAAAAACGTGTTTCTTGTTAGGTTTGACGAATCTAGAAAGGATGTTGAATGCATAGAGAGTGCCCACATACGCAGCTACTATGTTTTACTCATGCCACAAGTAAAATGTGGAGAAACTATAGTTTTACCTTCAGCATCAATACTTAGTCCACTTTTCAGAGCATATAGCTCCTGTTCAGAGTTGGTCCAGTCTTTTTTCCAATCTTTCAATCCGATGAATGCAGATGCTGAAACCGACATAGATTGCTATTGGAATCAAACCTCCCTGCTAACTTCTGCAGCAGTCATATCAACCGCGTTTTCTACATTACCGGTGGTAGATGTTGTTAACTCAAGCGAGGAAGTCAATTCCATTGACTTAAAATCTCAACTCTTGATTGATTTTCCGCCAGGTGCTTTTTTTGATTTACAAAAGGACCGCCAATACGGATTTTCTTTTTGGAACTTATTTCTTTGTGTAATGTATGCTGTTACATTTGATAGTGCAGATTCCATACCAAACTCATACTTTTGCCTAAGCCAGTACATATCACGCTCTTTCCCCGATACTAGCAAGCCAAAGAATGCAGTAAGCTACTCGTTAGCTGTCTGGAATGAAGAACTTCTCTGGAGGCTTATCAATTCCCTTTTATCAACTTTAGGAGTCGTTCACGCAGCTGGGTTTCATTTTGGAGGGCAAATTACCACTGATGATATTCTCTGCTTTGCGATTCCTAGACAGCTAAGTATGCAACTTGAAAATACTTTGAATTGTTTCCGGGGTAAAATTGGACACAATAAATGGGGTGTTGAAGATATCAAATCTTTTATACACACTATCAATAGTATTATATTGCCTTCTGCGCCAATTATGGCACAAACACCGGTGCATAGGGCCTTCTTTACCCTGACCTGCATCCCACGTAGCGTGTTTTCTAATCACTGCAACCCTTCCTTTTTAGAGGGTGAATCCTATCAAGAAAAGGACTTGAATTGTGTCGGAAAAATTTTGCTTTCCATCCTTGAAGCACAAAAGGCATCGAATGTTACCACCGATACTCTCGTGAGCTCAGAGCTTAAGTTTTTCATACAACGAATGTGTGGATCTTTCCCTTCCAGTAGCCAAACTACTGCTGCGCCAGCCGTTCATTATCTGACTCGACTGCAGGCGCTTCGTCTTCGCGCCAATTCGTGGATTTACTACCTACTTGCTGAGGAAACGCATTTCCTTGCGTGCTGTTACCTTCAATCACATAGAATAGAAAGGTTATCTTTATATGAGGATACACAATCCAAAGGGCAAGCGAACTTCGACATTCAGCAGAACACTCTCACCCTGAAGGAAAAGATTACACAGCTTATGGCGTATGAAGCCGAAGTTAATGAAAAATCGAAGCTCTTGGAGGCTCGTGAAAACGAATTGTCAATTCGAGAGAAAAAACTTGAAGCCATGCTCGCATTGTATGAACTCACCTATGAGCATCTTGATAAACTTCCTGATGCTCAAACTTCCGGTTACTCCGAGCTTCGACGTCAGCTTTGTAGCAGGTTTACTGAAAACGGCCTGTATAACGATACGAAAAAGGATTGCAGTCCTTCACCGAACTCAATGCCCTCATCGACATTGGAATTCACTGCTCATATGGATCGCGAACAGCATCGCTTTATGAAAGGTAATAAAGTTGACCATCGTAATGGCACTTGTTCATTGATCCACCACCATTTTAGCGATTTGTGCCGAAAAAAAAGCATAAATGAGGCCTGTTCTCAAGTAACACAGCAGCTCGGTTCGGAGCCACATTTTTCCTTTTCAGTACCTGTTAGCAGAATATCACCGGATAAATTGAATCAAACTGCAACACGAGAAACCCTCGAGAAAATCCCACAGAGTAATACTGAAGTGATGAAAGGCGTTCCAACGGATGAACAAAGTATCTTGCCTTACCAGAACTCGCCTAACAACGGTTTTTCTAATCAAGTTGCTTCATTTTACTCTAATGTGGATGACGAAAAGCTCTTTTCTGCTAAAAAAGCTGAACCCTATGTCGCGAAATTGCCTTCCTCCGGCTCTTCTCGCAGTATTACTTTTCAGCAACATGTCTTTGGTGAAAAATATAGCATAGATAATACTCCCAAGGCCTTTTCCAATGCTCACGACCCAGCACGGTCCCCTTCTTCAAATAGTGTCACCGGCACTTCCCACACGCCACTAAAGGGTAAATCAATACGACAAGAGAAGCCATCTAGTGGTTCTCTTTTTAATTCACCACCTTCCTCATATCAGCCTGATAATCGATTACCGTCTTTTCAAAGATCTAGTAAAGCTATTGATAGTAGTAGCCCCCGCGAAGCACATACCAATGGTGCAACTGAAACCGGAGAGACATCAAAAGGCTGTGTGGATGACTTTCATGACGATGACAAGTGTAACAATCACTGCACCCCTAAGCATTCGGTTCCAGGGACACTTGGAGGGGAGGATCAAAGCGCACGTAGTAAGTATTCTACAATGTTATCCAATATGAAGGCGGAACGCACGGATGCTAGCTACAATAGTATTGATATTGATGATACGCCAGGACTTATAAATCAGCGAAGAGTTCTGGTACCAAAGTTGTCTGGAGTCTTATTGGATATTGAATCCTTTTCCGTTCCCGAAGATGCAGGCTATAAAGATGACGATGATGAGTCTAAAACACCATGCCTAGGAGCAAGTGATAATCAGGGTTTGAAGGACCGAAAGTCCCGTCGCGAATCGCGAACAACACGCGTTAAAACAGAACTAGACCATAATTGGGTTCAGCTACACTATGCTGAGTTAGAGAAGATGCAAAATAATTTTCGTCAAGACAGTGTCCCGGGACGTAGTATTAACGCCACTCCTAGTGCCCGCACCACACCTCACAGTCTTAAAGTGACAAAAGGGGGACACCATTCAGATGTGTCGAGGGAGAGCCGCGGAAGTCATTCAAAGGAGGTGGAGGCATCGACGGAGGGGGTAAGTAATTTAGACCTTACATTAAAACGCTCTACAGAGCAGAAACAGCTGGAGGATCATCAGGGAGGGAGGGGTCGTAATATTGTATCCCCCGAAATCGAAGTTGTTACCGAAGAAGTAATTAAATGTGTGGAACTTAGTTCAAATAAACCGCCTGCACCATCTTATTCTTATCCGTCCGCCACGGAATTGCTCGTGTCTAATCATTCTCATGATGATGCTCGTGAGCCAAGCTCAAGTCACTCGACTTCGTTGATTAATCACATTTCTAAATTACCCACAAAAACGGTTGACTCCCGACTAAAGCAGAAAACCCCCAAGGAGAGAGTATGCGCAACCAAAATAGCCACTCCAAGACGCGGGGCGTCGTTTTTCACACCTCCGACTTCTTCGCTCTTGAACCTCCATGTTCCAGAAAAATATCCCCCTAAAGAGCAGCAAAAGGGGGTGAAAGGCCATATGAGCAGTCGTGCGTGTGGCACTGATTCTGGAAAGCGAAGTTCAATTATTTCAGCTACTTCAAAGCTTGCAACTCCTCGAAACCATTTGAACTCGTCCTCACCTTCTTTAGCCTTCTCTCAAGCCCTTTTCTCTACGCATTTGCAGAAGCATATAGAAGTGCAGCGCCAGCCTCAAGATCCTCCTGCCAGTCCTCGGCAGAAAGCTATAAATGTGAAGCGAGTTCACTCAGCATCTGCAAATGTGTTTTCCCATGTCACAAATCCACCAAGAGGCAGCACACTGAGCAACACATCCGAGGTAGAATCTTTAAATCGTCGGAAAATCAAGCGCAGCGAATATTCAGTGCGCGCTATGAGTACAGAAGACGTGGCTTTTCAAACCCCGCGAGGGTTTGAAGGTGTGTTAAACGGCGCTTCATCTCGACGGGGTCCTCCATTGCAGCCAGCAGATATTTCCCCGAATTCTGCTAAATTTTTATCTGAGAACCTAAGCGACGCCAAATGCCGTACTAAGACTAGCTCTGTAGATAATGCTGCACAGGATTTACTAAGGCGACTTCGAAACAATGTTGCCTTGACATCTTAGGTTACCTCTGATGCTTTGATCACGCAATAAAGTGGTCATCTGATTAGTTTATAAATTTTTTTCCCACTTTGCTTTGTGTCATGATCTTATTCTTCCTGCTTTCCGTTTGATAGACACATATTCCATCGGATTTAGAAATATTGAGGTGTGCGTCTTTCTTCTGATTTTCTCAATATTATCATTTGCATCACTGTTTTTTTTGTTTTGCTTTCCATTGTATTGCATTAGCATAGTGCTGATGATTTAGTTTGCTTCCATTTCTCTTTAGAATATCATTACTAGTGTATTATGTGTGTTGTTCTTCATGTCTAAATCAATATAACACTTGGTACAATTTATGCAAAGAAAATATTTGCTCATTGGGCATAACAGAATCCTAACGATTGCAGAAATACTCTGCCTATGCTTACACTGCCTTGTATTTGAAAGTCACACAGCCCAATTTGTTATAGGATACCAGCGTGGTGTTTATACTTCTTTAAAATATTTTGTTGTTTGATTTCGGTAAGGGTAAGTCGTAGAAGTGAACATAGAAAAATATGTGCATCATAATATCAACATATCTTATAAGGTATTCATAGATTCACCCGAGCATAGATGGAGGATGAGATTGTGCGGACGCAATGTGAGCTGGTGGCGCATCAGATTTGTCTTCCTACGTTTCCTTGCTCCATTTCATCATCATCATCATCATCCATTGCTCTTCCTTTGCATTTGCCCACGGATAGAACGCAGTTTCTGGCTAAGTCAAGCCAGCCAGGCAGCGTTGCTCAGGTTGGGTTATCCTCATTAGATGTGTCAGTCCACAGCCTTCTGAAAGACGTTGCAATTATGTTGTCAGACAATGCTATTGCTTTATACCGTCTTTGTCGACATCGTGCGATACCAATCGCTCTTTCGCATGGTACCAGCAGTGGACACGGCTTAAATAGAGGGGACGGCAATACAAGCATGCAGGATGCTGCTTTTTGCGTGTGTGCACGTCTTATAGAGCAAATACCTTTGGTCTGGGTAGAGTTGACTCGTCGCGCTGCAATACTTCGACCCCGCAATCCGACACTATGGTTTGGTAAGTTGGTTTTAGTGTCTGTTAGTGTTTCAGATATTGAGAAATTTGCGGCGCGTAGCCATCATCTTATGCCTGCTCGCGCCCTGTTGCTCCGTGACACCCACGGGGATAGTCGTAACAACGGCAGAGACGGTAAGGACGGCGGAAATCCTTCGTCAGCGCCAGTTTCCTCGCGTGCAGTTGGTATGGGATCGACGGCAGATGCGTCTACGAACAATATCACGACATCAGCCACAACGGAAACCATTTCGTCATCGACTCTATCAAACTCAGTTCCCATCAAGATGGCGCCAGCCGCCTTAACCGCTGGATCTCTGAGCATTGACCCAACTCAATCAGAGTGCCTTGCAGCTTGTTACTTCTTCACAGTGACGACGCCTGCGTTGCGCAGGAAGTACCCCCAAGTGATTGAGGTAAGGCCGTTGAATCATGAAGAGGGTGGGGAACGTCTTCCAGGAAGTTCGGGCTCCTCATTTGGAACAAAAAAACGCAATCGTGTAGGGAGAGACGGCGAAATCAAAAGGCCGTTAACCTGTCTTGTCGGTGGTACTACCGCCAATCAATTCACGTTCAACGCATGCGAAGTCAGCGCAACCTCCTCCAAAGACGGTGAATTTTGTCGACAACCACCCATCGAGGGTGACTATCTGGATGAAAATTCTGAAGAGGAAGATGAATTTGGAGGGGACCGCGAGGGTGGTGGCTCCAGAAAGCGTTTGTCTACAGGGCCTTCTCTTGTTTCGAGACTTAGTAAAAAGAGAAAGCTCACACGTGTGGGTATTATGAGACCTCTATATTCTACTTTGCATTCGTCTAAGCTGAATGGAAAAGCAGAAACAAACGGTAATGACAAAGATGGTGAGTTCGACGAAGATGAGGAAGGTAGGGACGATGACGTCGATGACGAAGGCCTTGATGAGGAAAATATTGATCAACGGAAATGGAACAGACTATTCTCTCTGTTGATGCGAACAAACGATTCTGAAGATCTGAAGAAAGAATCCTCGATCCGACAGCAACCGCAACCAGTGTCGCTTGCGCCTGTTATGAGCCCTTCCATCCCATGGGGCTCTTTGGGCCGCCCTTTGAATCTTATCGAACTAGCGGCTCAAGCTCACGTTACGGCATTTATCACGCGGAGGAAGTGTATTGAGGCACTTTTTCGGAGGCCACTGCTTTACGAATTCCACACGTGGTATGAACTGAATTTGTTTGCTCATGATACTCATGGTGTCGGCTCAGATGATTTTCCCCGTCCTGATTTACCTACCTCCTCTTCTTCAGCTCCAACTCTTCTAGAGAGGATTCACCCGTCTACGGAGGAATCTGAAAGCCAAGCCGAACCTGTTGTCGACTTCAAGGAAAAATTCAACCCAAATGATACTTCGAGTTGTCTGCATCCGACCCGTTTTCGCAGTTTCTGGAATCCTCGTTCTAACGGCTCATCAACAAGTACTTTCATGTTGCCTTCTCTCATGCCAAGACCAGCTTCTCTTGTAACATGTGATTTCTTATTGATGCGGCTTCTGATTTGTGCAACGTGGCTAACCGTTTATGTAGATGTTCTTCTGCCAAGGCTAGCTTATCTTGAAAAAAAACAAACAAAACTTACCGGTTTAATCCCTGATCTATTTGCTGATTCGGAATCGCCGAAAGTAACGACTTGCGGCGCTACAATTAATGAAGAAAGCACTAGCGATAACACTCAGATCACGAATAGAAATCTTTCAAGGGGTGCCACAGAAGTAATTCCAGATAGAGGCCTTCTCGCAGTGCATTCCAATAAAACCAAATCGGGCGCCTATGATACCAACCTTATCCAAACATCAGCGTGCGTCGCCTTTTGTGCGAGGATTGTGAAGATTGAAAGTAGGAAGTATGGTTGCGGTAGCAAAAGGGGACATAGACAGTGTGATAGAGGTCTGCCTCTGTTGTGCCCAGTGTGCGACGAAGAGCTTCACAATAGCACCCATATCAAGTTTGCATGGAGCGCGTTGCGTGAGGATCGTGAAATGCTTTGGAAACGTATGGATGCCTTCATGGAGGTGATGCGCGCTGAGGGTTACGTATCCCCTTCAGATAGCTTCGACACGGAAGATGAGGCGGAGACTCAGCAGCCGGAGAAAAGTGGAGGTTTAGAAAGTGAGGTATCTCAACCGCAGGACAGCACTTTTCCAGTGCATCATGAAATGTCAGCCAAACATCATATTAGTTTGAGAGCGTGGTGGAACGTATTTGTGGGAGCGACGTCCGCACGTGAAGTTGTTGAGAGCACTCTTCGGTATTCTTCCTCCTCCCCTTCAACGTTTCCTGCATGGCAACATCTTTCAACATGCGCCGACCACCCTGAAGGTGCCGTTACAGGCCTCAGCGAAATGGATGTACGAGGCCGACATGCTAGTAGTTTTAAAAATGTGTTTCACATAATTTCGGGGACACTTAGTTATACTGGTGAAGAGATAATTAATGTACGAAATTGTTTCTTCAGAGCAATGGCGCACCGCATGCATGATGTTGTCGAAGAGCTTTGCGTCATTCTACTCTTGTCTAGTAAGGACTCTCGCGCAGAGGAAATGCTTGCGAGAAACTCAGGCCGAAACAAAACCAGTGAGTTTGCAGCGAACGTCCTATATGATAAGGCGGGAAATGATGGGGGTATCAACTGTCCTCAACCGGCCGACCCCAAGGGTGGTTGCTCTAGCACGAAGAACAAAGCTGCTTTTTGTAATGTCTTGTTGGAAAAATATAGGTGGCTGCACCGGGCGAACGGAGTGAAGACGACATCCCCAAGCAAAAAGGGCGTCTCACATGAAAAGAGCAAGATGAGAAAGGATACTGGCTTGAGCACTTTTTCCTCCCCCTATACCCATGGGGAGGGGTTAAAAAATCACTTGAAGGCTTGCAGTCTGCGTCAATTGGTATTGGAGGTGGTTCTCGGGGGATGTTCTGTTGAACACGTCGCGCTCTTCCTCTTTCCTTCTTTATATTCTTATCAAAAATGTGATGTTAAAGAGGGTCAGGAAGTGGCTCCGTTACCAGAGCACTATAAGAAACAACAGCGGGAAATATTGGAACTTCTTGATTTTATCCCCTCCACGTTGCCCCCACTTCAGGAGGAAGACGGCATTTTGGAATGCGCGCGATGCCTTACGCTATTTCATCAACACTGCGTAGGTCCTTTTCAGCGGGATTTTATTATGGGTTATTTTTTATGCCATACCTGTCGACTTTTAATATCTCAAAAGCCATACTGATTGCTGAGGGAAAAATATATGATGGTTAATTTCAAAGAAGCCCTGTAAGGTGTGTTGAAATATTTAATTTTGAAAGCTATTAGGAATTGGAAATACACGCATTATAACATCGAACCGTCTACGTATGAAGGTAGATGGAAAGTCCTACAGTATTAAAATTTTATCACTCTTTTTCTTTTCATATTTTCCTACCTGCCGGCAAAAACTTCTTGTTGAGAGGTATAGCACACGGGCAATTAATTGCCTAAGTATGTTCTGTCTTGTATTTTTTTTGGTTTTAATTGTTAACGTAGTGGAAACTGTATTTTAAAGAAAATTACATCAGAGACAGAGTTTCAATTAGTTCTTTTCTTCTTATTTGTCTTCTTTTCGTTTCCTTACGCATCCCGAACGTGTGATTGATGCAAATGCATATCATAGGAGGACTTTTTTTACTTCACTTTTCCCCGTTTGAAATGCATTAATAGTAAAGCTTTTCTATTAAAGTTCATTTTGTATATTTATTTTACCATATGAAAGGAGTTGGACGACAATCATTTCTCGTCGTGTTCGACTTCGACGATACTATCGTGGACTGTAATACGGATGAGGTGATTCCTGCCGCTTTGGGTCGTGGTGATCTTCAACGCGCTCTCATTGCCGAAGGAAAAATTCAATGGACTACGCTCATTGACACATTGATTGCACCTTATTCACGAGATGAAATTGTAAAGGCTGCTGAAGATAGTGTTAGTATCGACCATGATATGCCTTCCGTTTTCAACTATCTGCGAGAGATGCAAGAGAGGTACAGTGTGCCTCTTTACACTGGGGGTGAAGTCCGAGAAGCGAAAAAAATTGAAGCTGAGTATGTACCTAAATTCCTTGAGGTTGACATTGTCAGTGCTTCTAACCTGCTCTTTATTGAGGCCTCACTGCAAGCCCGTCTGCCTGAGATTTTTGGACTACTTAGACAAGTTCACAGCAACCCGTACTACGAAATACATTCTACAGGTGTGAAGACTGCCAAAAGTAAACCCTGCTATGAAACTTATATTCCAGAATTGAGTATTAATGAAGCAGACGAGGCAGAACGAGATGGAATTTACAATGCGCAAAAAACTCGACGCTCACGTGTTTCCTGGTACGAACCCCTTGGTAATATTTGTGAGGGCTGCCTTGAACTTGGGGTGCAGACCATATGCAAATCCAAGGCCATGCATCGCATCCTCAGCACAACCTCGCTAATCGATCCCACCATTATCTATGTTGGAGATGGTCTCAATGATAATTGCCCCGTAATGAGTGTGTTAAGACCACGCGATTTTGTATTCGCGCGGCGTAACTTTCGGTTACATAAGGTTCTGAGTAATGGCCATGGTGGGTGCTGTAGCGTTGGACTTTGGGAAAACGCAAAAGAATTGCTTCAGCTCTTCCAGACTGTGATGGAGAACTCCACCATCCGTTTGCCTACCATGGTGAGGTTTCGTGACGTGAGTAATTATGAATTTCGTACGGTAACTCTCGAAAAACGCACGGTCGATATTCTGAAACGCGCAATGAGTGCCAATAAGGATCATTTATCAGCGTCTGGAGTAAAGCGTCTAGAGGAGTTGATAAAGAGTATCCGATCTAACGGGGTTGTTCCAGCACTTCCTGGTCAACGTATAGTGCCGACTTGGCTGCGAAACTACGCCTTCGTCGCGGAGCACGATCGTTGTCCAGTGAAGCCTCAGGATCGTGCTGAATGGGTTACCTTGAAGGAGGAACTAAGCATTTGCGGCCAGAGTGAGCGTGTGTTGCCGGTCCCGCGTTGGGGGCAGATTCCTTGGCTTCTCGGTGAAATTCTCCTTCAGCACATTTATTGGCAGTATGTTATGCTCAAAGAGGAGCCTGCCGTTCCGATTGCCAAAGTGAAAATGTCGGGGGATGGCGACACCTCTCAGGATGAAAGAAACACCCAAAGAGGTGTGGTAAATCTCATCACACCTTACATCATGCATAACCCCCTTTTCTCGCAGGAGTGCAAAGTTGCGCGAACGTCAGGTATGTTTAGCCCAGGTATTAATTCCTACCAAAACTTAAATACCGAATTTCTGGTACGTTCACCTCTGGTGGCGCAAGACGGTATAGTTGTGCAGGTGTTTTATCCCAATCACACTTCATCTTCCCAGGAGAAAGCGCAAACAAAGAAAACAGGCTGGGGGGAAACACTACCCTACACGCGTTTGGTGGATCCTGTAGGCGACTCTATCCTTTATCTCGAAAATTCATCGATGGCATCCGCAAGCCGTGCTGGAGGAGAAGCGAGCAGTGTGTTTGCACCCTATCGCGATATATTTTTGCAGGAAAAGGAAGGGCTTACCAAAAACTTTGTTAAAACTCGAATCGTACCGATTCTGGCTTGCGAGCCATGGGGAGCGTCGCTTGAGTTTGTTGACGTGCTGCTGCGGTGGATGCTTTGGGGTAATGGCCTTGATTTGTCCATGTTTACACTAGAGGAGCTGAAGAACACACAGGGAGGATCCCATGGGAGACGAGACAAAGGTCGTAATGATGGTTTAAGCACCAGTGAGAACGTTATGGCACAAGAGCAAACGGATGGACTGCGTGATGTGGAAGCACTTATTGTGAAAAAGAAAGACGATCATATCATTGGGAATGACCTCGAGTGTCTTGCTCACTATATCAAATCTGTTCTTCGTTGTCAACAAGCCCGAGCCTTGACTAAATCTTCCTCGTCCACAGCGAATCACCAAGCCGTAAGTTCATCCGATGCCACCACCGCTGCAGTTGAAGAGCCACCTTGCCAGATCGATATTGTTATGGACAACGTCGGCGTGGAGTGTATCTCCGATCTGTGCTTTGGTTTATGGTTTATCCAGCAAGCGGCATCCAACGGATCGCCGGCAGGATCTGTGGTGTACCACGTGAAACCTCATCCGTACTACATATCCGATGTTACAGCCTGCGACTTTAATAGGATGTTTACCCTTTTGGAAACCTTCTACAACAATTCGGAAAAGGATACCGCTTTTTCAGATGAGGAAAGGGAATTTATTCGAAGTGCATTGGAGCCCTTTATAAGCCGCGTGCGTGCGGCTTTTAAGGAGGGGCGCTTTCGCATTGATGCCGATACAGCGTGGACTCAGCCATGTGAATACCGTGACCTTCCACCTCGTCTGATAAACCGCTACTTTTTCTCACAGCGCGTGACCGAGGCACGCTCGACCATCCCTGGGATGTTGAATCCAGAAGTGGGGACCTCTAAAATCTCTGCCAGTGAGATTTTCCGCATGAACAAAGCGCACTTTGCGGCTCGGACCTCGCTGGTGATCTTCAAGGGTGACCTTAACTACCGCCGGGTTGTGGGAGATCGCCATTGGGACCGAGATGATTTTATGACCTCGCTGGATTTGGCGTCTGCGGGGCCCGCGGTGGAGGAGGTGGTGCAGGACACCCCGACGGCGGCCCCCAGCTTCCGGGACATCGTCTCTGCGTACTGGCCGACACACGTGGTGCCGGTCTGCTGCATCCGAACGATCAAAAGCGAGTGCTGTGTAGGCGTCCCCAAGGCCGTGAAGGAGGCCTTGGACAGGAATTACGGCACCCACCGTCGCGGAGAACCGTCCGAGGGCGGCAATTCGATGGGAAGATCCTGGTCCCTTACGGGTAAAGAAGGTTTAATTCTGTTTGCTAATTAGTCAACTCTTGTGTCCAGTCAGCTCACGCAGGGAATTGGAAAATATAGAGGGGAAAGCTCCTCAATATACCTATAATTCTCTAGTGTCGAAAACCCGATCAACATTATCTATTTCGCTGAAATGGGCAGATAATTTTCCGTGGTTCGGAAGAGTTTTCCTTCTGCCAATCATCGAAAAAAAAGCCTATGGATAAATAGTAAGGATAGAGTTTTTGTGATGGAATAATGATTTATTTTCTTTAGGCATTAATATGATTTTACCTTTCTCTATTTGTGTAACTGGTTTTAAATTGGGAATATGACCAACAAAATCCAATTTTACAATTTTTTTGATAAAAAACTAATGTAGGACGGTTTTAGTGAATATGTACGATCCTTTTTCGAGTAACACTTTTGATAGCCTCTATTCCAAAGGCTCGTAGGAATATTTTATGGATATCAATTAGAACTATTTTACTCGTTCAAGCTTGGCTATTTCTCATTTTTCATCTTGTTGAATTGATAATATCTATGTCAGTGTTTGGAAACTGGTTATTCCATTAAGTGTAAATTCCAACTATACTATGCTCTTTATATTCAAGTGCTTCTTGTTGTTCTTTGCATCTTTAGTCACCGGAAGTTTACAAAGGTAAAGTTCAAGACGGGACAAATCCTTTTGATAGATGAAAAGTCCATCGTCTGAGTCATTCGTCGTCGATACCATAGGGATTCGTGATCTGAGCAAAGAGCGTCTTGATGAGGCTAGTGAGCCACCTGCGGCATTGAAAATACTGCGCTTGTTAGCAACAACACATCGTGAGGCTAAAGGTCCCTTTGAAGGCCCGACCGCGTATCCATACCAGCCTACAAGTTCTCAAGAGCATAACAAGCGGCTAGACTCTCCGGTGTCGCTACCATGTTCTTCTACTTCTCATCAGCACCCTGTCAGTTGTGGTGTAGAAGGGTTGGGGATCGAGGCGAAGGACACGAATGCGAGTCCCTTCCAGGGTAAGGCCGGTCTCGGCTTGGGGCAGGTGGGAAATCGATCTAAGTACAGCAAGATTTCTGAGACTCCATCGCAGCAGGAATCAAAGCCAGCTGGTTCTCCCATTCAACCTTTCAAATCGAATCCCCAGCTAAGCGATGTTAGGTACATTAGAGAACAGGATAAAGATGACAACTTAGCATCAAATGGATTAGGTGATGGCTTTCCACACTGTTCCACTTCCTCTGGTAATAGTATTAGTAAAAACGCCAACAAGGATTGTTGTTGCAGTGATGGGAACAGCCTTTCTTCACGCTGCCTAGGTCTCATCATTAATGGGTTCTGTGGCACTTTGAGAGCCGTCCCACATTGGTTCATAATTGGGATTGTCGGAGTTCTTAGTGCCATCTTTTTTTACTTACCATTGTCTACTAATCTGATACATATTTTTTTTATTGCCCTAAGTGCAGTGATTGGAATTGTGTGCGGTGCAGTGTACTACGTCAGTTCGAATGCCGAAGTCCTCTCGATGGACGGAGAAAAATTTCGACAAGCTGATGCAATATGTCAATACCACGATGGGTTGCGCATCTTTCCCTCTCTTAGGGTCCTTTCAGGAACTGGAATCTGGTCTGTAAAATATTTTACTAACGCTAATCATTGCCCTCACAATGGATGTCGGGATGAAGCAAACATGAGTGGGTTTGGTAAAGCTTGTGAAATTTATGTTCCCCCTCCCCCCCCAGTTCTGCCCTTTCAGTTGCAGCTGAGTTCATGCCATACCTGTGCACACCCTCGCACGACAGACCTCAATATTAAAGGTGAAAAGGTGCACGGTATTCAGAAGTCGGATTTGAGGCACTCTAGTGGCGGTCGTTGCGATGGCTATAGGGATCACAAGGGAAACAAGTGTCCTGGCCAAGAATTTGGCACCACATCCGTTGAGGTGTCTGATGCCCCTTCACAATCTCGATTAAAGAGTGTCAACCCTGGAGAAAAACCGATGGACAGCCGTAAGTGTGATTGTCCAGGAAGAAATTCAGATAATTTAATGCCCGATGCAACTCGACATGGATTTTTCTGGAACTACTGGATCCGAAAATCGTACTATCGACAGGCAGTCCCAGCTGCTGAATTGTTGCTCTTGGGAGTGCTGTTGTTAGTGTCCCCACGTTTTACTGGTGAACGCATTCATTCATCGCTTCTCTCTCAAACCTCATTAGACATGAGAGTCTTGCCGCAAAGTACTAATGGGGTTTCCAATGACCATGCGAAATCAAGGTTTTCCTTTATTAAATTAGGTTTACAGCATTCCTCTGTGCCCGTAAGGCCACTGGAGAGCGGCTTTCTTCATCCGTCTGCGCTGAAGCCATCTGGGGGTTTAATAGATTCGCGCCGTGGCATCGTCGCTCAGGAATGCTGCCCAGGTTCGCCACAGCGGAAGATCGTATCTCAAGCCGAAACTAAGATCCCCTTGAGTATTTCTAACAAAATACGTCAAAACGAATGCATTGCACTTAAGCGAAACCTACCTCTTACTGCAAATCGGGTGACAAAAACGTGTGATGAATCCCATAAATTTTCTATGTTAGCACACGGGAGGACCTTCATGAAAGAAGCCGGTGTATCTGAAGTTACAGCTGCTGATACTTTGATTTCTTGCACTCAAGCTGTGGTGTTGACGGATTCGCCAGTCGAAATGGAGATGCAAAATAACCCTTCGGCTTCTGCACACATCTCCTCTGAGATATTGTTTGGAGTGTGCCTGCTACACGCGTGGATTTTCTTTGCGTTCGACATCCTATTTTTTGTCGAGTTATTTGTCGCGCTTGTTCATTTGGCTGTACTTTTGTCGTACTATCCGTCTATTTCGATATATCACATAGCTCTGTCAGGTTTGTGGCTAACAATCCCAATCCTGTGCATACTGCTGATGTGTTTCAGACACCAAAGTTCACCTGAAGGGAGTCGTAAGAAGGCAATGTCAACAATTCTGGACCAATTACCAGATCATCACTTAGGCCATAGGCCTACATTATTTCATCTTTGCTTTACAAAAGGAAGTGGCGCCGACACCCTGAACAGTGTTGAACATCGCCCCTTTCCTCAAATGAACCAAGCTGTTTCTGTGGATGATTCTTTTCCCGATGCGAACATCGTTTTCAAAACGACAAATCATGAGATGTCAGACGAAGTCATATTGCATTCTTACAGCACTATGGAGGATTACGACTCGCCTTCCCTAGAGGAATGTGCTCCTCCTATGTTTACCAATGCTCTCCATCGCGAGCGCTTGTTATCACCACAAGCAGCTGTGTGCGAAAGCCCTGGTGAGACTAGCCTGCCACCTATGACTCAGGAGATGAGTCCTGCGTTCAGCATCCCCTCTACGATTCGGGCGACAGACGGACACCCACCGATGCACACGACCACGACACGGACTCCAAATAGGGTAAGACAGAAATTTCCGAACCTAACTCCCCCGCCGACCTCCGTCGCCAAACGCCTGGAGCGGACCCACAAGGATCCTTGTAGTGGATTTTGTTTTTCCGACCCCTCTCGACCGATTCACCGCGAGGACGACTTCACTGGGTATGAGCTTGATGTCATGGCGCGTGATTATGATCTTGCTGCGTTCGCTAAACAACCATCAAGCGCGTGCAAAGCGGACGTCACCGATAAACACTGTTTTCCACGTGGGATGGGTGCCATGGTGGGGTCTGAGGCTTCCACAAGGGCCCCTTCCTTTCCCCAGATTTATTCCATCGCATTCGATAGTGCAGTGCTCTACATGGTGAACCCGAGACGCCACCTAAGGGTCCATCCTTTTGCTCCTGCGTCTTACCACCCCAAATGTTTTTCCTTGAATTCTTCGTTAGGTATTAACGTGAGTGGATTTGACCGGAATTGCTCATCGGTGGTGCCTCAAAAAGGTGCAAAATGTATGAGAAATATTGACCCAAAGGTGATCCAGCAAGGTGGAGCTCGTTCTAACCCGGTAGCTCCTGTCTCTTTATGCAATCATGTCGAGTTGTCTGAGACCTTTGCCATGCCAATTGGATTGGAAAGCGCTCCTTTCGCATCCAGTCTTGTCCCTTTTGGCGACGATTGCAATCCTTTTATGCTCCTTGACCTTGGGCTTGTCATAATTGAGGCCAGCGCGGGGATGGCGGCCCTTCTTGGGACGACCCCGGAGTTCCTTCGCCTTCGCCGCCTTCAGGATGTTTTGGCGTGGCTGGAGGTGGACCAGGCCACCAGCGTCCTCCTCAGTCTAAAAGAGCTCATTTTGGCGTCGACTAAAGATTTTTACGTGCGGCCGCACCTCGACCCTGATGGAGTGTGCAACTATTCGGGAAGTCTGCACCACTCCGGCGGATGCAGGGCTAGAGCCGGCGGTGCCGATTTTCCCCAGGGTTCTATGGGCACAGCGCCTACCGGGATGCAGCGCCATTTGACGGAGGAGCATCCGGAAACGGGTCCCACTGTTAGTCGTATCACATTGCGGGGCCGCTTCCCACTTCGTCGTGATTCAGCTGAATGCGATTTTGATATGAAGCACAGGGGCGCCAAGGCTCAGGAAGACAAGCCACTGGGCCATGATGCTGAAAAGCTTAGGAGATCGTCAAAGGGGTTGGGCACTTTTGCGGTGAGTTTGGATACGTGGCTTGAGTTATCCTCTTTTGGTGCGGAGCCCTGCTGGGAAGCCGGGGAAAGCGCTGCCCGAACGGGCCTCCTAGTGCTGCGTCGCCCGCTACTCCATGCGGTCTGTGATCATCTACAGATTCCGTTAGCACTCTTGGATCCCCATAATGGCGAGATTTTGTTTTGGAATCGATACGTGGAGCGGGTGACGGAAACCAGGAGCTGCGATATCCTCGGGTGGTCACTGTTTTCTCATTTTTATCCCATTACTGACGATGCCAACAGCATAGAAAGCGAAGCAAAGAATACTTTTGAGTGCATTCATTTGCCACCTGGAAGTGGTGGCGGCTGCAAAGTTTGTACTCCAGAAAATTCTATATTTAATCACTCAAACGCTACTGATCGTGAAAACTTTACTTTGGGACAACAACCTGATAGCACAAAAGCTGTAAGCGACGATTATGGCTTTAGAGTCTTGGAGCTACGCGGTTTGCTGCGGATTCCAATGCCATTCGATACAGAAAACGTAATAATGCCATCAAAGAACGGTTCGTTTGCTATATCGCGTGAAACAGAAGCAAGTTCGGGCAACCAATTTGAAGCTTGTTTTCCCTCGAATGATCCATTTATTCAGCCACACTTACGATCGGAGGGGATTGAGGCCCGTGAAAACAGCGCCCAAGGTGAAGTGTGGTTTCAATGTTGTCTGCGGCCGCTGTGTGGAATCTTCCGTGAGGAAGAAAGTGACGCATTGATGGGCCCCACACCTGTTTTTTCGCATACGCAACTTGACGGAAGTGTCAAACGCAAACTATCCAGGCAACTTCTTAGAGGCGAAGTCGATGAATTGTATGGGATCAGCAGCAGCAGGAGTACAGCCATTGGTGCAACCGAGCATCGCAGAAACCGTGAAGAAACAGAGGCTGCGTCCTGCAACCGACCGCAGTTTAGTGACCAAAACAAACTCCGTAACGTCCGAAAGGGTGCGAATTCCCATCGTTGTCGGCATCGTTTGCCGCCAAGCGCGGCCGAACTACTTGAAAAAGATGTAACTGCTGGTAATCCCGCCTTCTTCGCCGCTACGGATGATACTATGAGTAACAGTAACGGTAAGCCTTCCGCTAGAGCCACCCCAGCGTCCAATATGGGAAAGGGTGAATCCAGGTCACCCCTTCTGCGGGAACATGCTTCCGATAACGTCTACGGTAACTTCTCCGGCGCCACGGGTGGCTACACCACTTCCCAATTTGCTACGTTTCTGCAGACACTGAGAAGTCTTACGCGGGAGGATGCACCACTGATATTGGTGGTAGAACAGCCTGTTTCACCTTGCTTCCCTCCGTTTCAGCAGCCTGGTGGCTTTAGTGCGTGTACCAGCCAGAACTTAGCGTGCAATATCCCGCACAAGCTGGAGACATGTGACTACGTTGATCACCGTCTAAAGCCCCACATGCCTGTGGGGCCGAGCAACTTATCTCTGCAGTTTTCGAATTCCGTTAGGGCCGCTATACAGCTTTTGAAGCAGAATATGAAAGAAAACATGGCTCTGAGGTATTCAGATTTATGCAATTTGTTACCATCCGCAAAGTCTGGTTCATCTCTTTCTAATCTCGTAACGACCATACCGAGAGTACCAGCTGGTCGCGGCGATGACGTGTTTGAGAAGGAAAACGCACTGGAGGTGCATTCTATGCTTGATCACGTGAAATCGACCGATATGCTTCGCTTAGCGTGCTGCTTGAAGGAGTTTGTTGATCAGATAATGCACATTACAGACCGATATGATAGGGAAGTTAGCACAGTTTCGCAAACACATATGTCTTCAAATTCATCTCTGAGACTTCAGTGTCAACACCGGCGCGGGCATCAGTGCCATCTGGTGTCATCGCCGATTTCAGGCAGGTTGTGCTTTATGTCACCTCCACAAGACCCACCTGCAGGAACACCGGTTGGGGAAGTAAATGGGGCGGTTAACGCCGTGAGTACCCCTTCTCTGGTTGGTGGCAAGCACCGATCCGCATTTGGGGAGGTAAACGATGCCGATATGCCGAGTCAACAACGTGATTCAGTTGGCGTGGGAAGAGAACCGCATGGTAGGGATGTAGCTCAGACAGCTGCAGTGTGGTCCAAGCATCTTACCTCAGAACCAACTGTTACGAGTGGAACCCCACCGAAGCCCCCTGTTGGCGTGTGCAGGCTCATTTCGGACAATAAGCGTCCCTCAATATTTAATCCTCACCATTCTCTCTTGTCCGTCAGCAACCTGAACATCGCTTCCGACGCTGGGGATATCAAAGACGAGGCTCTGTCTAATTTCGATACATTTGATAGACATAACAGGAGCTTCCAGGATATCGAAAAAGTCCAGGAAACGGATGACGAAAGGGCCTTGCTGCAGTCGCGCCTACGAAGCAGTTACCTCGCCCCTTCGCACGACGACAACGCATCCATGGAACTCTCGAGTCCTCCCGATGAATTAGACCGACCGGAACACGCGTTGCCTATGAGAAATAGGGGCGATGGTGGAGCCATGGTCGTGGGTGGAGCCCTTTTCGGTCTTGATGAACCCCTGAATGGGATGGATGAGCCTGGGGTGGGTTCCTTTGGACCTGCGATGGAGGGGGTAGCCCGGGCTCTTTTACACAGCCCAGACCCTTCGAGTAGCATTGCCCAACCGAGTAAAAGCGATGCGCAGTCCCCTGTTTGGGCGATACTCCTCTCACGTGATGAGGCCACCATTCCAACGTGCCGTATCCGTGTTCCCTTCGGGGAAGAATTTTGTTTCGGTCGAAGCAGCACATGCCACGTGGTCGTCTCGGATACTTTCGTAAGCAGTTTGCAGTTCAAGATTAAACGTACGATGATCTCCGATCATACCAAGGGTCAACATCGCGATGGGAAGCATGTGGATTGCGCGATCAGTCAAGAGGATGATACTCCTGGCAACCAAAGCTCGGGGGGACTTATTGTAACACTTTATGACTGCAGTGTGAATGGTACTTACGTCAATGTCAAGAAGATTGGAAAGGGTAGACGTTGCGTTCTCCACGACAACGCCCTGATCACCTTTCGTCTGAGCACTTCTCAGTTTTTTATGGGATTTGTGTTTGTGTTAACGGACGCGCACGGTTTTCCTCTACGTGGGCGACACATAAACTCAGACCGGAAGGTGAGTCGCACTGGGTTGAGCACATGGGTTTCCAAGTGGAAGCACACTCGGGAGGCTCTCACACCCACCTCCAGCTTTGCGTCTGTTTCGTGTAAAAACGCTCCCGGCGATGGGCAAGCCCAGTCAGTCGATGCTGTCAGCAGCAATCGGCCTGCTTCCTCAAGACGCTTTTCATCACCGGATAGTTCGAGCTTGGGCAGCATCACCTGCATTCCGTCACGTTCTCACAGCGCCCTACAAACCGATCGACGTCATCTCCACAGTGCCGCACGGCGGAAAAAATTCATCGTGAGCAAAAAAGTTACTCGTCGTGAGACAATTGAATGGAAGATTGGGGAAGAGATGCTTGGGAAGGGTGGGAATGCGGAGGTTTATTTGGGAATCAACCTCACGAATGGGCAGCTCATCGCAGTCAAGCGCGTGCGACTGCCAGATACCCTAGAAGATCACGACAACGCCGAGGCAAAGGCCATTCTTCAGCAATATCGCTCGTTAAAAGAGGAGATCGCGGTGCTGTCGAAGGCAGTCCACCCAAACATCGTGCGGTACTACGGCTCTTCACAAAACTCCACGTACTTTAATATTTTATTGGAGTTTGTTCCTGGTGGCTCATTGCGGGGCCTCCTTGATAACTTCGGTGCGCTTAGCCCGGGCGTTATTCTCAGCTACCTTCGACAGGTGCTGCAGGGCTTGGTGTACCTCCACCGACTAAACATCGTCCATAGCGACATCAAAACGGCCAACATCCTTATTACCGAGAAGGGAAAGGTGAAATTGACGGACTTCGGCACGGCAAAGCTGCTCAACCGCCCGCGCACCACCTTCGCCACGACCTCCAACTTCGCGCACCGCAAAGGGGGCCTTGGGAATCGCGACACCACCCCTCCACCGGGAACGGATGGAGGAAATGGTGGGGGAGGGGGAGGAGGAGGGGGTGTTACGCTGCATATCGCGGGGACGCTACGCTGGATGGATCCCGATCTCTTTCGCAGCGATGCCACCGTTCCTAGCATCGGCCCCACCAAGGCGAGCGACCTCTGGTCCGTCGGCTGCGCGATGATCGAGATGATGTCCGGTGAGGCGCCGTGGTTTGAGTACGAGTTCGAAAGCAACGAGCAGATCGTGAACCTCCTGACGTACACGCAGGAGCCGCCGGAGATCCCTGAGTGTGCGGAGTGCCCTGACTTGGTGAAGTTGGCGCAGCAGTGCTTGCAGATCGACCCCGCCAAGCGCCCGACTTGTGCGGAGCTCCTGCAGATGGTTATGGCCTCTGAGCAGCGGTTTCAGGCCGAGGCGATGCTAAAGGGCTCCTCCGGAAGCCCGCTACGGAGAGACTCGCCGTCGACTAGCGCGGGCGCTGGCAACGATGGCGGGATTCCACCGAACCGCGCGCTAATTCCCCCACCCAACCCCACCACATAGCTACCATGGAAGGACAGGGAGTAGGAGAGGGGGGTCCATAGCGGCGAAAAATGGAGTGAGCGTGTCGTTTATATCCACTGCTAATATGTGGATCTTTAATATTTAAAAGAACGGATTATTTTATTTCGTCTTAGCTCATCGCATGTCAGTCAAACGAGTTACTGTTGGTTTTCGTTTTTTTTTCCGATTTGTATGCGTCAATAACACTAATAAAAGTTTTGTTTTGTTGTAGTAGTAAAAATTTGTATCGCATTATTAGTATTGCAATTCACTTTCTTCTTGTACATATTGTTATCATCGATTCATCTTTTTCTATTTACATCGCTAAATGTCTCTTATTTATAGAAAAGGGTATTGTTCTCTAAGTGTCAGGAAGATACACATTCGCTACTTGATGTTTTCATCTAAACATAATGTCAATGCTTTCCTTACGTTTTCCTTTCGATTTCAGATGATCCGAAAACAAAATCAAGACGTATATCATTAATCATTGATTATATATAATTTAAAACGCTTTTTAAAATTCCAAACGCTTAGAAGTGCGTGTGAGCTACTCATAGATTCGTCTAACACTCGCTATAAAGGTTCTACGAAAGCAAAAATAATATTAGAGGGGTACGAAGCAGACATGTCGGACCTACAAAACAACTGTGATGATCTGCCACGGGAACATGATTGGTTGAAGGTAAACGTATCGGCCCGTGTGGATTCATCAGAGATGCCTTCCACGGCGGCTCATTATTGCACTTCCTCAAATGAGGATAATTCCGTTCATAATAGCGTCGTCAAACCACAACACGTGCAGGACAATCCTCATGGCACCCGTGAGGGTGGGGAAAAAGACCACCAGCAGCACCGTTCCCTTTCTCCTCAGCAAAGCCGTTCTTCTAGGACGCTTCCCAACGCTTTCAAGGAGGATGTCAACCCTAAGAAGGCTTGCTCCTCGGTTTCTGGCGCTCGCGGCATCCTTTCAATGCTTAAAATTTACAAAAAGCCACATGATGATTATCTGGTGTATCGGCGGAGTTTGCCTTTTAACACGGTCGTTCCGGAGCCACCTCACACATTTCGTGATTATGTCGCAGCGGTTTTAAACTATTTTCTTGCTAAAACAATTTATATTTTTGTTCTCATCGCCTTGAGTCCTTTTTGGATTGTGGCGCACATTGTTTTAACCTGGTTGGATCGGTATCAACGCCGTGCGTGGCTAAACTATCACCGCAGCTGGCCGCATCGTAGCCAACCCCACATACGGCCCGTGAGGTACGCCCCGGATGCATCCTTCCCGCTTGAAAACTGGCATCTGCGTTGCGAGGATGGACGGCAGAGATGGTATTATGGGGAACCCTTGCAGCAAGTGGAGCAGGGGAACGAGTGGGCGCACGCACAGGTTTGCGGCTTCCCCGACCTCGATTCTTACCACGCCTGCCTGGGTGAGAAGGCCACCCCAAGTTCGAGGCCGAAGTCGGATTCCGAGCACCTCAGCGCGAAGCAGCAGCATCGACGCGAGCTCGAGCGGTATCAACTTGGACTGCACGAGCCGTCAGGGCGCCGACCACGGGAGACGTCGGAGCAGGCGATGCAGGATGGATTGAGTTTTCTGATGCGGCTTCAGGATCCCTTTTCCGGGCATTGGCCGAATGGTTATGGCGGGTGCTTGTTTTTAACCCCGGGTGTTCTCTTCACGAAGTTTATCGTCGCCCATGGGAACCTTGATCGGATGTTCCCTCAGCCGAAATCGCACCAACACGTGCGGCGGGAGCGACGCGGAGAGGGGGGTTTCGACGGGGCATCTGGCAGCCTGGCGGGGGCGCCGCCCATGGGCGACGATCTCCCCCCTTGTGGTGCGGATGGGCGCGCGAAGGATGAGGTGCCGTGTGTTTGCGGCGAGGCCACCCGTCTCGAGTTAATTCGATATATACGCAACTACCAAAACGACGACGGGGGTTGGGGGCAGCACACGGAAGGGCATAGTACAATGCTTGGGACGGTTCTTAATTATATCGCGCTGCGCATGATGGGAGTGGCGGCGGCGGATCTGTCGATGGCTTCCGCGCGGCGATGGATCCACGCCGAAGGCGGGGCGGTGTACACGCCGCTCTGGGGGAGGATATGGCTTTGCATTCTCGGGCTCTTCAGCTATGACGGGGTGAACCCCTTGTCGCCGGAGCTGGTGCTGCTCCCGAGGTGGATCTCGTTCTCGATCGGCCGCTCGTGGTGCCACAGCCGCGTCATTGCGATGTCTTTTTTGTATTTCTATGGTCTTCGTTGGAGCGCGTCGCGACATCCACTCCTCGAGGCCCTGAAGGAGGAACTTTTCGTTCAGCCATTTCACACTATTTGTTGGCGGCGCTATAGGTACGAGGTGTGCCCCAAGGACCTCTACACACCCGTCTCGAGGACTTACAAAGTGTTTTGTAAGGTCCTCGAGCTGTATGAGCGACGCCCCATCTCTTTCCTGCGGCGGTATGCGTTGGAGAAGAACTGGCAGCACATCGCCTACGACGACGAGAACACGCATTTTATCTGCCTCGGACCGGTTAACAAAAGCCTAAACATGCTCGTAACGTGGATCCGGGAGGGGGAGAACAGCGTGCGGTATCAGCTTCACCGGCAGCGCGTAGACGACTACTTCTTTATGTCGCCTTATGGCATGCACATGAGTGGATATAACGGCTCCCAGCTCTGGGATACGAGCTTCGCGGTGCAGGCGACATGTGCGTGTAAAAGCGAAATGCTTTTTGCGAATGAAATGGCCTTGGCGCATCACTATATCGATATTGCTCAGGTTCGCGACGACCCCATTCAAAAAGACTACTTTTACCGCCATCGCACGAAGGGAGCGTGGAACTTCTCGACGAAGGATCAGAGCTGGCAGGTGTCTGACTGCACTGCGGAGGGGCTTCGGGCGGTGCTACTCCTAAGGCACATGCCTTTTCCTACTGCTCGTATTTTTGATGCCGTTGATGAGATTCTCTCGCTTCGCAATTCAAGTGGCGATGGTGGATGGGCCTCGTATGAACCCAGCCGTGCTCCGCATTACTGTGAGTTACTTAACTGCTCAGAGATGTTCAAAGACGTGATGGTAGAGTATTCCTACGCCGAGTGCAGTAGCAGCAGCATTCACACCCTCTCATTATTTCGAGAGCAGTTTCCTTATTACCGGCGCAGTAGCATCGACACCGCCATCAGCGAGGGCATCGCCTACATCTTTTCAACTCAGAATCCGGATGGGAGTTTTTACGGAAGCTGGGGTGTTTGCTTCACCTATGCCGCCTGGCTCGTTTCGGATGCGCTGCGCATCTCCAAAGAGTTTTCAAACATAGCGGACCACCCACGCTGTCGGTTGCTTGCTGACTTTCTGATGAGCCATCAGAATAATGACGGTGGCTGGGGTGAGGATATTAACGCGTGTGTACGCCAGGAATGGGTTGACAACCCAGATGGCAGCCAAGTGGTGAACACTGCGTGGGCAGTTATGGCAATCATGAACGTATCTGGAGATCCCAACCACTCCAGTTATGCACGGTGGCATCAGATCGCCTCCGCGGTGGAGCGAGGTATTCAACTCATTATGTCAAGGCAGCTGGCGACGGGTGATTGGGCTCAGGAGCGGCTCAGCGGCGTGTTCAATGGTAATAACGCTATTCATTACCCAGGATACAAGAACACGATGACGGTATGGGCTCTAGGCATGTACAACACTTGGAAGAAAAATTTTAAGAGGAATCCAGACGAATACTGAATCCCAAGAGGAAGATGAGCGAACCCTCACTTTGGACACAAAAAATAATGTATCATACGATTTTGCATTCTGTGTGTATTTCTTGGAATTTTTTAATTTGTATCTTGGATTCCTTTGATTTATACCCTGTACCCCGTTGAAGAGGAGTGATTTTGCTTGCAGCTATTTCATCGTAATCCCTCTTTAAGCAATAGCTTTCATGAGGGAAGCACGCTGTTATGGTGTTTAGAAAAATGGTTATGTCTCTCACTGTTCGTATTTTTCATGCTTATGAATGTGGGTTCCCCATGTCATGACCAACGTTGATACAAAAAACCAAACATTTCGTTATATTTCCCTTAAAAATGGTAGTTCAACTTTAAATCCATCCAATTCTTTTCGAAGCTGCGGGCTGAAAGTGAAATAAGAGAAAGTAATGCTTCTTAGATTGATCCTCCCGCAGGACCAACTATCGCATTGCTTTCCCCCACCCCGGATGTTATGAATTTTTACACTTAGGTTCAGCTGATAAAGGAGGTGAGTCCCGAGAGTTGCTACCGTCTTGTTGTGGGCACTACATGGTGCTCCCCATTATAGTGATCTCCACTAGGGGAAGAAAAGTGAAGTTCATAGCGGGGTGGTGTGCGCACAAGGGGATCAAAAAGATGGTCGACCCAAGGGAAACTTCCACAACCACAAGGGTTTTATATTGCTATGAAGAATGCGTATAACGTACCAACGATGAAGCCAGTAAGACTTCACTCCTTTGTTCCCTTGTCAAGCATTACTAAACACCGCTTTTGTGGTTTCCTGTTGCAGGACAAAAAATCGGGTTCCTCGTCCCTCACCAAAATGTCCGGCTTCTATCATTTCTTAGGTACATGCATGTACATCTAGGAGACTTTTGAGGCCTAACGCGAGCAGGAGTAAGCTAGTTTTCCGTTTTTCTTTCCCGAATTCATGTCTTTATGAAACTTATCAGGGATCTAACTGGAATTGCTCGCAAAAGGAAACAACTTATGTCTGGTAAACATAGCAAGCAGTCATTTTTGCATTTCATCACGTTTTAAAAAAAGTTCACACATTTGGCTTCACTTAATTTTAAGTTTTCCTATCCGAAAATTATAATTTTTCTTCATATTCTTAGCGAATTGGTTTCAAGAGCCAAGCTTTAGTTATTATTCATACGTAGGTATTCTTACTCAATCAAAGGCATCTTGTCTTCGTGTTATCTTTAACTAGTGAAAAGTATAGCGCATAAGGCGAAATAACACGCCATGAAAGTCAAAAAAGTGCAAAGGCGTAGAAAATGGAATACATCAAGTATAAATGGAAGTAGTCTTTCTGAAGCATACTCTAACAAGGCTCCAATGTCACTTACTGTCGGAGAGCGTGACCTTAATTTATCTTACACCTCAGCGCGTCCTCAAAAGTCAGCCTATAGGAGGAAAAACATCCTGAAACCCTCTGAGCTTCCTCATCTAAATTCATCGAGGCGGTCGTCTTTCGCGTATACACACCCTTGCCCTTCGCACAATGGCACTCAAAGGGCCAAATCCAACCCGCCCCACTTTTCCACCTCCCGTGATTCAATTCCCCCGGAAACCTCATTTGCGGAAACGACCACGAGGGAAACGGTGCGGATCTTCTCCAGGCCGGGATCCTTCTTTCTCACTTACCAGCCCCCGGAGTCTCTCATTCAGCATCACCTGTTTCGTCATATCCTCCAGCTAAAGGCGCATCATTACGCAGAGAAGGAAGGCTCCCATACAGTGCCGGAAGGAGAGAGGAGGGGGGAGATCGTCGTGAGCCCTCCAATCTCACCACTGGATCCGGCGATGCTCACCACTCCAATCGGGAGAATCACCCTCCAAGAGGTTTCCCCCGTTCCCCTCAGTTCCTCGATGATGGAAAGTGGAAAGGGGACTCTCGTTGAGGACCTTTCGCATGTGTCGATCCCCCACCAACACGTTTTACGCCTCAGTCGACGGTCGTTTTCACAGGAGACGGACCTCCTCGCCGTGAGCGCCGGCGATCCACGCGGCGTGGAGGGGGAGTTGGGCAACAGCAGCCTGGGGTTTTCGCCAAGACGAGAAGAGGGTTCCCTCCCCCATCGTGATCCCCATCGCTATTCCCATCCTCCACGGCAGGAGGGGGTGGGGGGGGGGGTCCTGGAGCGAGGCGGATTTCATGGCCTCCCAGGAGCTGCTCTCCATCCCGTTCGCGGAGGCGTCGGTGGGATCGCCGTCGCCGTGCGGGGATCCTTCGAGCGTCGTGAGGATCGCGAAGGGGACGCCGCGGCCTGCCTCGCCCAAACCCGACCAGGGCGATCTCGCGGGGGTGAAAAAAAACGTCTCCCGGCGTCTCCTGCTTCTCCCACGCGTAGTACGAAGGATCGAGGGCGCCGCCCTTCGCGACCCCGTGGAGGGCCATGGCGCGTCGAGGAAGGGCGTGAGACGGTCGAACGCAAAACCGCCCGCCGGGACAGAAAAAGAAAAGGAAAAAAACGACGCCGAGGAGCACAAACCGAGCGTTCTGGAGGCCCATCCCAGACGACCCCCGCTGCAACGCTTAGGGGCGGAGTTGCGGCAGTGGCGGGCGTCCCTTCACGAGTTTAAGCATCGCCTCCACCACCAGGAAGAGCGAGGAGGAGGGGAGATCAACGGCGATGAAGCGGGTGGGGAACCATCTAAAATAATGGAAAGCAGCGCCTCCCTTCTGAACTACGGGAATAGCACTTTTTCGTCGACCATGTACACGCAGGAGCTGCATTCACTTACGGAAGGAGACCTGTATCGCTCAGTGAACGATTACAACGGGAATGTGGTGAAAATCACCGATGCTTCTTTTAAAGAGAAGATTCGAATGTTCCAAGTCAACGGTGAGCAGCCTAAGTACTTTGTCGTGTTTTGTATTCCGAAGCGCGAACGTCGGTTGGTGTTCCTCCAGGGTGCGAAGTGGAATTTTAGCTTATTACGTCATATGATCAGAATGGAAATACATCCAGTCTCAGGGACCATGGCAAAGACTGTCTAATAAAAATGTGAAATAAGGAGAACTTAAATAAGTCATTCATTTTCATTTTCCTTTTAAAGGAGCAAAATATATATATATAAACTACATTATCATTAACTTTTATTCTGAATTCCCACAGTGCATTTTTTTTTCAATCCGATATGAATCGATTGTTTGCTTGGTAGCTAATTATAAACTTATTTGATTTTGAGGAATAGGACATTAGGCAAAATAGCCCAACATACTATTAAAGAAAGTTATCAGTATCAAAATACCTTTATTTTATAATTTATCTTTCAGTGCGCTATTTTTATATTTTTGTATTGTTTCTTAGAGGCAATAGCCTCATTGGAATATTGACCTCAGGAAGCAAAGTGGAAATTAAATCTGTAGCGTTTAAGGAAACCATGATGATGAGTGATGTTTTTAGAAGTACTTTAGTAGAAACGGATGTTAAATTTTTTAGTAGCTTGGTGTCCTTTGAAGCTCTTGATGAGCTAACAAGTAGTGACCGAAGTGGGACCCTTTAGTATTCATACATTTATTATTATTCATAAATATCGATATAAAAAAGTATATATCTATGTATGTGTGGCTACACCCCTTCAAAAAGCTTCTAATATTTAGAAATATAATTTCTATAACAATAAAGTTTTAGCTGCTCATATAATATGCTTATTTTTCTTAGCCATCAAGGTAGCCGACACACTTAGTAAATTAAGTTGCGCGTTAATTTTTTAGTCGAGAAGCGTAGACTTCATATTCACATATATATGTACACATGTGCACGTGTCTACTAATTAGCTTCACAGTGATTATTAAGTTAATGCGAATAAGTATATAGCTGTTTATTGGAAAAGTGAGACGTATAATGCAATCATTCCCGAGGGGTATTCTTTTATACATCATAACGTTCAATTAAATGCTATGGTATTGAGAATCCAACAATTTTGGTTGATTTTATGTCTTGTTCTTCCTAAAGCTTGAGTTTATATATTGCAAATATATTCATATTCATTAGATAACACATTCCTGAAGATAAATAGTCTACATATTTTCCTTCACAATTTATTTCAGAATCTACCGTGGCTCCAGTGTGTAGTGTTGTGAACTCTTTTTTATAAGACCACACAGCTCAATTTTACACCTCTTCAAAGGTTAGTCTCTTCTTTGTATAGAATATATATATATCTATATATATCACTAATTCCTCTTTAAACTCACTAGAGAGACACTTCTATTCCATTGAGCATAACACTTCACTTAAGGTGCTTCTGTTTTACTCAACTTTAGCCACCCACGTTATCTGTGACGCCTTTCAGGTAGAGCACGCGTAATTCAATCAGCCTTCTATATAAAACTAGCTTAACTTGTACAATACGATTTATATTCAAGAATAGATACAACAAATTGTACGATTAGACTGACAAGCGTGCGTGAACGTAAGGGAAGGCGGCAGCTAACGCTGTTTCATAGCTTAGAATCATTTCCTAGGTCAAGTGCTTGAAGGTGGTTGCCCTCAAGAGAATAAAATACATCCATCAAAATCATATCTAGGGGTATTAAATCAATAATAAAAAAACGGCAGTCTGGGCCATAAACACACGACTGATTATACACAACAATTTGTTTAAAAAGTAAATAGCGATTATACAAAATTAGTGTTCTGCCAAGACTTACAAAAATGGGTATTTGTTCCTGCAAAAATCTATCCAAGATACGTAAGTCAAAAAACCCTTCTACCGATAGAGATGAGTACGGGGCAATTTTTTTCCCAACAGGGATCAGGAAGTCTGATGCAACGCACACACAGATATACGTGCCCACAGAAGTCAGTGTTAATGAGGTTTCATCGGATATTCATTACTTCAGCTCCCCAAATAAAAGGAATAGCCTACGCGAAAAAAGCAGCAATTATAGTAATGACATCCCTGGTAGAAGCAAATCCGTGAATACGAGTCAAGGCCCTCTAGGAGATTCAGAATTTCATTATCAAAGGAAGATTACGGAAATCTATGTCAACCAAAATGGGGAATCAGAAAACCCTTATGGAAACCAAAGCGTATCTTTTTCGGATGAAATCTCCAAGATTAAAGTGGAATCCATGACGGATCAAATCGACAATACGGATTTGTATTCCAGCTCTATAGAAGATCTGAAGAGTTTGTATTCCGTGAATAGCAAGAGCAACAAGTCCGAGGCGAGTGCGAGCCTCCCTCAGCGCCCTGAAACGCAAAAAGCCGGCGGCGCGAAGCCCACGGCCCCGACGGGCGATTCCCTGCACCTCCCCCCCCCCCCTCCCCCTGGTGATCGGGCGAGTATTCACACCCCCGAGCGCCCCGACTCCGCCTTTCACACCCCCATCGAGGATTCGGCGAGTGATATTTCGGAATTCCTCGCGGCCGGACGCCCACGCGGCTACGCCTATTACAACTCCCCCTCAGGTGGAAAAATCGACCCCCCACGCCCCCCTTCGCTCCCCACCCACGGCCGACCGCCGCTCGCGCAGGCGCCTGAAAAATTCAGCCGCAAATCCAGCATCACCGTGGTGGATGTGCGGAGTAACCGGGCCTACGACGCGAGCGCGGCGAAATCCCCCATCCGTCCAAACGGACTTCGCCGGGCGGATTCGTTGACGAGCGGGCGATCGGACCTCTACGGCCGCGCGGATCCGGGTTTTTTGAGCTGCCGCAGCACCACGACGTCGATCTCCGCGTGGAAGTCGAGCCTTTCCATGCCGGTGAGCGGGAGGGCGCGGGAATCGAAACGGACGCCCGCCGCCTCGTGGCGAACCCCCGCCCTTTCCCCACCCTCGACGACGTCGATTCCGCGATCGTCGTCTTTTTATTCCTGTTGTGAAACAGCGAGCGTTTCGACGGCGGCGGTGAACTCGATCATCTCCCCGATGGCGCGGACGCCCTCTTGGGTGAAACTTGGGCGGCGAAACAACCCCGTGAAGCCGATGACGTCCTTGAAATTACCACCACGGTCTCGACAAGGGATTTTCACGAATCGCGAGCTCCAAAAGAACCCTAAACCCCTCCAGAAGGTCTCCCCGGTGAGCGTGAAGAGCAAAAGCACGGAGGGTGGCCGGGAAAGCGGGAGGAAAACCGCAACCGCGTCGGCCGATCCCGCGATCGTCTCGACCTCTGTTCGCGCGCTACGCGATGTGAGCGGGATTCGCGCGGAGGGTCGATCTCGTCTCCCCGCACGCACCCCACCTCGCGCGCTGTGGAATCCTTCACGGCGGTGGAACCCGCGGAATGGCAGCCTCGCGAGCCTCGGGGCGGCGGCGTCGAGCGTGCACTCCTCCTGCTTCGCGGAGACGCCGCGGAGTTCGTGTTTTCGCTCCTTCCCCCCTACCCCTTCGCAGCGGGGAGAGGCGATCGGGGCGACCCCTTTCGAGGCGCCTCCGCGTGCGTCGCGGGGGACTCCGGAGGGGGGGCGATCGAAGCGTGAGGCGCGAAGTCCCTCCGCCACCCCCTCGCTCCCGGAAACGACGAAAAACCCGGAGAGACGTCAAGAAGAAGAAGAAGAAAAAAGAGGGGCGGAAAGGGAGGTAAAGAAGGGGGGTGATGCAACGCCCACCCCACGAGATTGCAGCTCCTTGACGATAAACATTAGCCCCGCGACGGTGCGGGATTCGGAGCGGAGAGGTGCGCGTCGGGAAGGCAGCGGAGGGCGGAAAAAATTATCCAACGCGTCGTTTTCCACCCCCCTGGCGGGGAAAGGGAGGTTGGAGGGGCTCGTTCTCACGGAAGGAAGCTCGACGCGATCTTCAAGGGATCCAATAGGGCGTGCGGGCTCCTCAGGGGCGGTGATTTCCATCCACGACTCCCCCATGGTGAGCCTGGATCACGAAAATAACTCCCCCACGAATGGTTCCTCCTTCGACTTGCTCGATATCATCAGCTACCCGCCGCCGGAGGAGAGCACGAAAGGCGTTAACGCGTAAACTCGCCTGGCTTCATGTCCAATGCGGGGAAGCCATGGGGTTGAGGGGAGAAAAAAGGAGACAAAAAAGTGGTAAAATAGCTACACTCATGGTGGAAATGAGTGAATTCTTTTCCATTGTAGGCGTGGTTTTCTTTTTTTTCTTCAGACGTTTGGATGTTTTACGGTTAACTAAAAAGAACAACTTTAGAAGGTTCCCTGAAAATTCCACTTTCACTCTCCTTCTGCTACATCTTCTTCAGGATAGGTCGTGAGAGAGAGAGACTTTAATGTACCATTAGTTGTAGCATTGAGCGTTTGACTGTAGTTGAGGCAGATTGCAGTGCTCCTGATGTACTTTCCTACTCCTCTTGCTTGGTATAATCCTAAGGGTGTAATGCTGGATGCTCATCTTCCCTCTTTGTTTTTGTGATGTCCTAAGATGTTGCATGTGGCTATATATGAGCTTAAAATGACTTTCTGTTCTATGGCGTACGAAGTGATGCCCCTTTGATCTTACTCAGAGGCTTAGCCATGTGCGTGAAAGAAAGAGTCAAAGATATAGAGTGGCAGTATTTTTAGGTAGATAGACTTGTAGCATTTGCACTGTTGGGTGATTTTCACGAATAGCTTGAAAAAAGTGACGTGTACGGTTAGTAATTTATAAGCCAATCCCAACCAGGATAAAATGCAAAGGCTCTTAGCAGTCCTGCTTAATATAGAGCAAGCGGTGACGACTTAATGGGATTGACTGTAATTCGGTATGTTCACTAATTTTTGTGTTAAGAGTATGCACAATTTTAAGCTTGACTAATGACAAACGAAAATATAATAAACAGGTAATTGATGCTTTAACTCCCTTTGAAGCGTCTTAAACTAGCTCGATAGACTGAGGGTGCGAAAATTCCGATAGTATTTCCTATATTTACCTAACATTTATGAGTATATTGTGTTAAACGACGAAGTTTCTAGCAGGAAAAAAAATAAAAAACGCTTCATATTGAATTATCTTTGAGTTGGTATCACAAATTTATTACCTTTTCCTTTACGCTCTGGCGGTTGTAGACTTTCATTTGGTTGCCTAGCAGAGTTCTGATAACGTGAAAAGTGATTGAGCAAGAGTTTCGTGGCTTTAGTAATTTATTCCTTTCGTGATACTTCTGCTGCATCTTGCTATAACTTTCTAGGATTGCTTTAATCCTTCCCTCATATACATTTTGGGTATACAATTTGATCAGTTACTTGAATAATTATCCAACTTTAAGTGTTATCACTCATATGATATAAATGGGGTGTACACGTTGTCGTGTTGCTATTATCATTGAAGGTCTGTTAAAATGGCTTCTTACCTATATACAACTTTGCGCACGTGTGGAATGAGCGTGTGGAACTTATTACTACCCCTTCCCCCTACATCTTTTCTTTTTATATTCTTCTTCTTCTTCTTCTTTTGATCTGTTTTATTACCTAACCAGCCAAAGGTACGATACTAGTAACAAACTCTTTCCTTTTCCTCCCCTTTGACGGTCCAACCCTGCGTTGGGCGAGGCATGATTCGCGTGTTTAGCTGCGGCACGGTGCCCCTGATGGATATCATTGAGCTCCAGGGGAAGCTTCACTTGCAACCACGCGAGGGAAGCGCGGCGGAGATCACGAAGAAGGCGAGGAAAGCTGAGAAGGAAGAGGAAGGCCTCAAGGAGAAGGAGGAGAAGGAAGTCGATGACGGGGTGGTTTTGCTCGGCGAGGTTCAGCCGGATCGGCTGCGCGCGGCGGGGTGTGCGTTGCGGATGGGAACGTTACGCGTCGACGGCACCCGTGTGAAGGCGGGGAAGGCGGTCCTCGTTTTAAAACGCTGCGATACGGCAAGCGGCGAGGGGTTCCCCGCGCGGATTCGTCGACGACTCCGCCACGAAGCGAAGCAACGCGCGGCGGAGGAGAAGAAAGGATCTCGTGAAGAAGATCCGGCGGGTGCGAACAATGATACCGTCCTCTTTTCTGAATGGATCGACGCCCATCCGGAGTATCTCTCGCTTGATTACCTCTTCTTTGCGGAAGGGCAAGCGTGCGGAGGGGGTGCTCGTGGTAAGGCTGAGAAGCGATCTCGCGAGGATGATTCAACGGATGAAAGGGCTTCGAATGCAGACGACGTCGACGGCGAGGATGCAGGTTTTTTTAAGGATTACGAGGTGGTGGGCTTGGTGGAAGACCACGTCATCTTTAATGGGAAGCCGGCACGTATTTTTGCGTAAGATGTCGTCGGGGCGCGTGGATTGGGTTTCATTATGGCTTGACTCGGAAGCCTTCATGTGGGAGGTGGAGTTCCTTATGAAGCTTTTAACACACCTAGGATCATTCATCATAAAGGTAAATCCAAAAGGTTACATGGAAGCCATGGTTGTTTCATCGACGTTCAGGATCATATGGGGTTATTTTTTTCAAGTCCGATAGCAGCGCATATGGATGTGGTCTAATTTATCCACTCTTTGAACATTTTCTTTTCTTTTCTAGTCTCTAGGTGTTTTTGTCTTCTCCTCGGTTTTAGCTTAGACGCCAACGGGGAAGAAAGAAGTCTCCCTCTCTAAAGGATCTAGTTTGCGTCCGAAAACGAAGTAGGGCGGCAAACGCCGAACGGTGATATATTTACAAATATCTTTTTCAGATATCTGTATCTGTATATATCGTTGCTGTTGAAAGTCTCATCCATTCAACACTGGAGGAGAGAGGGAAAGTAGTTTTAATCGATCTCGCAATCTCTACTGCGAGGGATCGAGATAGTGTGTGCGCGAGTCCTGTAAAAAAACTGAGGGACCCAACAACCACTAGATAGTCTCTAGTTACATTATTATTAGTAGTAGTATCCTATTGTTAGAATAGCGGATGCGCCCTTATTATCCCATTCAACGAGGCGCTGCCACTTCCTTTGAGGCGCTTACGTCGAGCCGTTTTAATCGACGCGGCCGGAGTGGCGGGAGGGAGGAGACCTCCTCCCTCCCAACGGTTCACTTCCCCTCCTGCGACCCCTCTAACGACGACGGCCTGAGAAATCGACCCGTGTTTGAGCGATCCCGGTCTCACCCCTCACGAACGCCTTCGAAAAAAAACCGTGAGAGCACCGTTTTGGCGTCTTCGTCTTCGTCCTCGGCGATGCGCGTTTCCCTCGCGATCGCCGCGGCCACCCGCGTCCTCCAACGCCACGCCCGACAGCACCCCTCCCCGTATCGCCCCTTCCCCCCCCTCCCGAACGACGATCCGGCAAAATCGATCGCGGTGTACGCGGCCGCGATGCGGCACCTCGCTCAGCACCCCCGATCGCACTTGGGGGTGTTTCCCCCGCTTTTGGAGCGCCGCCACGCCTCTTCGCGGGCTTCTTCGTCGTCTTCGCCTTGGGAGGGGGGAAACCCCTTATGGCGGGCTCCGGATGTTCCCATGGCGCCTTCGGACGGGGGGGTGCACCCTGGCGAGGCTCGTCGGGCTCGTTATGAGCCCTTCGGGCGGTTATTCAACCGCTACGTCGAGCGCGGCGTCGGCGATGTCGTGCGGCTGCTCTTCCACGACGAGGCCCCGCCCCCGGCGGTGCTTCTCGCCCGCGTGATGCAGCATCGGATGCCGTGCGAGCAACTCCTCCTCCACAGCCTCCTCGCCCTCGCGCGCGCGGGCGAAGCCGAGGGGCGAGGGCGGCGATCGAGCCCCGCGCCCGCGGTGGACGCCCTCAAAAGGGTCACGAGGCTGCTTCAAACGGCCTGCCCCTCGCTTTACGGTTTGCCGTGGGTGAAAAACCTTCTCGTGGAGGCGTTGTTGCAGCAGCGTTGCTTTGCCGAGGTGGCCGGGGTGCTTGCCGACCTCGACTCTCGCGAAATGACGCCGCGGGTGTGGCGAGGGGTGATGGAGGCCGCCGCGCAGGGCGCCCTCCCCGATGGGAGGATTTTGAATCGTCTTTTAGCGATCCCGACGGGCGAGGAGGGGGACCCGGGGGTGCTCACCGAGGCGGGGCGGGTTTTGAACGCCCCCCCTTTGACGCCGACCCCGACCGGCGGGGGGAGTCGTTGGTTTCGCGAGATCCTCGCCCACGAGCGGGGCGAGGCCGCCGAGGACTTCTTTCCCCACGCGAGGAAGGGCGTGAAACCCCCTTTATGGGAGATCCCCCAGGGCG